CTCCCCTTTCCCCCATTCCCAGTTCCCCCATCCTCCCCCCGTAATTTGGGTCTATTTTGCAGAGCTTTTGGTTCCTTATCCGGGGACTGGGTTGACTGGTGTGATTGGCCAAGGTTGTCACATGGTGAAAGTAACTTTACGGGGTCGCAGCTAGTAGGAGGGCTTTATGGAGCAGAAAAACGACAAAGCGAGAAAAATTATTTTCCACTCCAGAAATTAATGATCATGAGCTCTTATTTGATGGACTCTAACTACATCGATCCGAAATTTCCTCCATGCGAGGAATATTCGCAAAATAATTATATCCCAGATCATAGTCCGGAATATTATAACCGGACAAGGGAGTCAAGCTATCAACATCACCACCCGGAGCTGTACCCAGTACCAAGACCCTCTTTTCCCGATCGCCCATTCAGCTGTGGGGGGCTCCAAGCTCCTGGAAACGCTGCGGCTCTCCAAAGGGGACACGGCCAAACTCCAGGAGGTCAACACCTCTCAGAGAAAACACAGCAGCTTTGCGAGCAGGCTGCTCTATCCACCTCCTCCACCACTCCTTCCCCAGCCCCTGCAGCCTGCAACCAGCCAAACCCAGACCATCCCACCAGCACAGCTTCCAAACAACCCATAGTCTATCCCTGGATGAAAAAAATCCACGTCAGTACTGGTATGCAACTTTTATTTTCCTCTTCTGTCTCTCCTTCTCTTATTTTCACACCATGCTCCTTCTTCCCTTTCGCTCCTCTCTCTCTCTCCTCTCTCTTCTCTCTCTCTTTTTTTTTTTTTCTTTTTTTTTTTTTGATTTCCTTCCCCTCCATGAGAGCCTTTGGGTGAGCACAATTGAACTGGATTTACGACTCCGAATGGGTAATTACACCCACCATAAATTTTATAGCCGAGCTACTGTGGGCAGCCGTAGCCATGTGGCTCGGGCTGTTATGTATGTGTGAAACTCGGGAAGCTTTGTGAGGGGTGCATAAATAATTCAGTCTTTTGAGCCAGGGAAACCCCTTCCGATTAGAATAGAAACTCTTGAGCTGCCCAAAGTTCTTTATTACCTTTTTAGCCTATTACTTTTTTTTTTTTTCTTTTTATTTCTTTTTT